TCCTCAATAGCATCCTCAATGACATCATCGATCAACGCACGAGCTGCAATGGAGGTGGAGCCATAGAGTTCTGCATTGTGTGGCATCTGTTCAAAGATACCTGCGACAGTGGCCCAACGGTGTAGTAACGCCCATCCACAGAAGTGTGCGGAGTCATCAAGAGGGACATGGCTGTATTGAAGTCGATCAGGAGTGACGTCCAACAGTCTTGCCACAACTTGCAGACCTGATCGCAGCAAAGGCCCAGGGAGGCCAACAAACGTGACTTGTGCGGTCACTCAAAGGCCAGCCAACGCGAGCCCGAAAGAATAGGCAGATTGTTGAGCCGATTGTTCGCGATCATGATCTCCTGGTGGTCATTCTCTTCCAGATTCGCTGTTCCCAGATTCCAGCGCACAACTGGGTGGATGACCGCAAAGTCCGGCGCAAGCCCCGAGATTTGCCGCAGGAAGAAAGCCATCTCATCAGTTGCAAGCCAGCCTCCTGTGTTGCTCGCAAACTCTGCACGCTGGATGAGGTTGGCGCCAGCTGGTAATGTGTCAGTACGAGCACCATGATGTCCGCCACACGAAATTTCAGCTGTCATCTTGAGCTGGAGCAAGTCTCCATGATCAATCTGAACTGGGTAATCTCGGACCTCCTGTCCATTGAGCGTAGCAATCGTGTAAGGCTTGGAGTCAATCTCAAAGTAGCGATTCTCCAGGCTCGGGGCCAACAAAAATCCACACGGCGAACCAACATTCTCGAAGTAGATGAAGATAAGCCTGTCCTCTGAATACTTGTTGAAGATGACAGCGCATGGTCCAATGAGAGCTGTATTGGCATGCTCAGTGATCTTGAACGCCAGCTGGTGGGAATCCTCATCAACATGAGACCAGAACTCTTGCACACAGCGCACCCTGTCCGCAGCTTGAGAAATACCAGTCAGAGTGATAGTGCGCGGGAGAGAACCAAATGCGATGGTGAGGTCAGAGGTGGGAAGGCCATCAGTGACAAGGCAGTGATTCTCAATATACTCCAAAGCAAATCGAAAATGTCGATCCTCAAACAGCGCCTGGTCAGCGACAAGATGCAATCGAGTTGGCTTTTGTCAATAGGCTGGCGCAAAGCATGATGCTCAGAGCCAGGCACTGGCACGGCTGAGTCAAGGGACACGGTGGAGTAGACCTTGGAGCAAGCTGAATAGGGTAGCCTTGGACGAAGACTGTCCACTGAGGATACTGGTCAAAGATCTGTGGTAGTCGTGCTCGAGGAGGGAGATTCTCACCAGTCGCAGCGAGAAAAATGTGGCCGTCAAGGTTGAAATCCCACGTGAAGCAACCCAGAAGGTCATTGACAGTCCATTCCGGGCAGGCATGTAGGCTCATAGATCGTCCACTCTGATGATGGCAGCAAAGGGTGAGGCTGTCTTGATGCGGTGCAACTTCACTGCGTACACAGATGCCTTCAATGACAGTTGGAATGCCAGCAAAGACATAGAAGTCGCCTTCTTCGATGATGATCGTCTTGGGGCCAGTGAGGCGGGTGCTCCAAATATCGTTGATGGTCTGAACGACATCAATGCTTCAGTGGAATAGGTGCTTGAAGCCCTGAAGTAGAACGAAAAGCGCATGCGGTGTTGCAATTGCATTTCGATAGAGAACATCAAGCTTGGATGAGAATACGGAGGTCTCAAGGAGACCCAAAAGGCCAGCCAATAATGCAGGATCCAAGAACTCAGGTCCAAAATCACCATCACGAAGCGTAGCAAAGATGCCCTTCTGCTCGAGACATGACCTTGGTAGCTCATGTTGGAAACCGTACGAGGCACAAACAGTGGGAACTGGTTCGTGCGGCTGCAAAAATCTCGAGCGAATGATGGCTTCAACAGGAGTATCGGGTGCGAATTTCATGCGCTTTGCTGGAGGCAGGAGCGAATGAAGTCCATACAGCTCTTGCACAGACTGCGACATGGCAACTTTCTCACGAAGACTGCGAGGCAACAGGAAACGAAAGGCATCGGGGGTCCATTTCTCATACCTGAATGCTCGAAACTGGCCTGGCAGGCCATCAACTTGCGAGAAAAGGTCAGACCTGACATATACAGCAAGCCATCGAGTGCGCTGCGTATGTGTGAAGGTGCTGTATGGGAGGGTACCTTCCCACAATGTGCTATAGCCTATGGCATGCAAGATGCGGCGGATGATCGGGAAGTGACTATGACGAGCAAGTTCATCCACACACTCAAGGTTCAAAACCGTGGGTTGGCCAAAAGCACATTGCTTTAAAAGGTCAACAAAGGTCCTTCTAAACAGTTCAGACCTCTCCCGAGGCCTCCTCGACTCCATGAAATGCAAGGAGGCGATGCTGTAAAAATGAAGTTGGCCACAGGCTGCACAACATGCAGCAGACAAGGGTCTGCAACTTCTGCCCTTACCACTTTGTGAAGGGACACTTCAACTACAGCGCTAGCCTGAACTGGTGCAGGCGTGACATTGCATCCATGCTTTCGGGCAAGTGCATTCGTGACATCAACATCCACATCCACAAATGTTTGTGTTCCCAGTCGAAAGTTGGGGCAGAAGCTTGGCAAGGAGCCAAGAGCTTGCCCCCAACCGGAGAAGGCGCCTGAGAAGATGCGCAGAGATTCAACCGCTTCGTCAAGAGCTGGCATGGTCCTCTTCAGGAAGGTTGCACGATGATCACCTGTCCAGAGTCCATCAGCCTGAGTCGAGAAATATCCTGCACATACAAAGGGGTCGCCTGCCGTCAAATTCAGTGAACGCTTGTGCGCATCGTGAAGTCTCACTCCGCTTCTCCTCAGCAAATCCCTGCCCAGCGACAAAGTGCGTGAGGGTGACTTCAAAGAGGTCATGCACTTGATGCCAATAGGTGCCTGCGAGGATCGTGTAGTGCTCCCAGCGAAGGGCTGGGCCGTCGCCCACTCCATGGAGCAGAGCCCTGGCGCGTGACTTCCAGGGATCCTCCAAATCGCACAAAAGCAGATCTAAATCCATGGCTCTACTCAAGGAGGTGCAAGGGACCTATCTGCCTAAGTGGAAAAGGTGTGGACAGGAGAAGTCCACTCTGTAGACGCCTGCCCACAACCGCGAGGCTGTCGAACAGGCCCCGGCCCCCGTGAGGCGTAAGCTCAAGGGTACTTGAACCCAGAAAGCTTTGTAGTCCATTCTGTTCATTTTCGGTGGTCAAGGTGGTCAACCCAGGTCTCCCGCTTTTGACCCAGAGGCACATGTTGAACCAGAGATTCATGGTCCAGAGAAGTCCACTCTGCTTCTTGTGCGGGAAATGAACTCTAAGCCTCTAAGCGCAGTGAAGCAAAGAATTTCTGCACCACTTCTGCTGTGGTCTTCAAGCGAGCACATCAGTCTGGCTTTGCCCGGATGAGATCAAGAACAATTCCAACTTTACACTGACAGTAAAATCAACTATATACTGTAATTATCACCGACCATCACCCCACCCGTGATCGGGTCATTTCGCAGCCAACGAGGAGCCAAGTCCAGATGCTTCCCCTTCCTCACCAGAGCCCACGATGATCCTTGGCGGAACAGAGACCAACTGCGATCCACTGCTGGTTTTACGCTGGGGCCTGTCTCAAAATGTGGGAACCCCCCAAACCGCCAGGGGTTCAGGGGTTCACACCTCTTTTTCTTCTGGCCAGTCTTTGTGGGAGTTCTTACTAATTTACGTTTCATTTATGTAGTACTCGTAGGACACCGCGTGTGACAGCAGGGTGCGCTGACGAATTTCGACCTGATTGGAGGCATTTTGATCAATTTTGTTTTCTTTGTCTTGAAGCTTCTCAAGATGGCCATGTCCAGAGATCCAAGCCCCGCAAAGATGATCAATCCCCCGATGAATCAAATACCGATTCCTGTATGTCGGGGGATTGATCAACGTCTTCCAAGTCAAGTTAAACTTCTACGGTAGACCTTGTGGATCTTCAGCATTGCTGCCTATTGCTGAGGTTCGGCCGGGGTGTGGAGGCCGGGATCACGGATGATGACCTAATGGAGCATATAAGTTGGGGCAAAAGGGTGCGTAAAGCAACATTTCAAAGATATATGAAACATTATGAAACCCTGAAACGTGATTTGCAGCCCTCCAAAGCGTCGATTGAGAGTAGAGAGAAATGTGCATGCTTTGGTTTTGGGGTGATCGCCCTTTGCTTACCTTCTTCCCACTTACAGTAACCCTCGTGAGGAGTCCCCCACTCTGGACGGCTCCAGCTCGATCCAAATGGGAGAGAAGTCACAGGCGGTCAGCTGGGAGTTGGTTTTGCATTGTGGTCATGTCATGTCTCCCAGAAGATGTTAAAAGGTTGATTTTTCTGTTTTGCTAGGTCTTCCTCTTGGTGAGATATTTCTTAGCTAGTTTGAACATGTTTGAACATGATTTTTTCACTTTGCAACAATTCAGCGGCCGTCCTTTTGCGGTTTCAGGCCAAGGGCCTTGACCTGGAGGAGGTGGTGCCGGTGGTCGCGGGGTGATGCTCTGCAGCGAAGCGTGGAATGACCCGGCTTTCTCGGTTTCTAGACGTTTCTAAACCGGCGACAGGTGCACTGAAACATGGAGACCAAGTCAGCAACGGAGCACCTTGGGGCTTTTTATTGCCTTTTCCTGGATGTGTGGGACTTGAATCCTGAAGGATGGCGCAAGCCTCTTATCTACAGCTTGTGTACATAGCAGCCCTTTGCAGAGGTTGCCGCCGAGGACATATGGCATTCCAGGATTGAAGAGAATGCCATAGCCAAGGAACGCCATCCCTTTTCACGGTGTCACGTCCTTGGCCGCATGAGACAAGCGCCGATGCAGTCGAATACCTACTGCATACCCGGTGCAAGTGTGGAGACCAGTTTCACTGTGCAAAAAGACAGAGAAAAGGAATCCTTGTGATTTGGAGTTGGATGCAAGAAGCAGCTTGTTTGCACGACTGTCCCTGGTAGTGACGGAGCACCTCTCATGACCAATGTCCACTCTTCCGCCGCTTGGATGGCCAGGAACAATGGCAAAGTGGGCCCCATCGATCGATTTGTTAGTCAGTTTTCATAGGCGTCCGCCAATTCGTGTGGCCTTCCGGGATCCGACGAGATTCTACTGGCGTCTTGAAAGATATAATCGTGATGGAACGGCATGGTGGATACCTGGATTCACAAAAAAAGAGTTGGAATCTGCAGTCGAACTGGATGAAATATTACTCACCAGATGAAAACTAGGTAGGTGATAGAGCTAATGTGTGATGCTTTCAGGGCGCTGTTGGATCATGGAAACCAAGAAGGGTACATTGGCTGAAGGGCCAGGCAGAAACACATAGGCTGGAGTGGTGTCGCAAGATCGCCCCAATAAGTCGGCCAAGCTCGCTAAATCCTTTAGATAATTCTGGCGGCTTTGAACAAGCTCGTCAGCCCTGAGGGAATCCTGTTGGTAACCTTTATATTTACTGTACATGCTTCAATCGCACCCAAGAATCATGTACTCGCAAATATGCGCCACCCTTGCAGAAGCCGGTTGGCTGGTGACCAGGGCTGCTGGTCAGGCACCTCTTCACATGTGCATTTGCAGAATTCGTCGGAGAGTGACCCCTTGCAATCTGAGCGGGAAAAGGAACGGGCGGCGTACTCCTGGATTGAGCCATTCTCGTTTGGTCTCGTTGAAGATCCCTAGAATTTTGCTCCGTCCTGAGGTTCGATTGTAAATGGAGGCAGAGCTTGGTCATCCTTTTTTGTACCCCTCTACCGCTGCCAGCTGAGTGTGGTCGACTGAGAAAGTCGACCCAATACGCTGTCCATAATCATTTGAAAAGCATACAGAGCCGAGAAGTGTGAGTATGCAGAATCAATGTAGTGCAGGATAGAATGCTTGCCGGCCATGGCAGTTCTCTGGAACTTCTCGATATGTGCACAGCACAGCATGTGGCACATGTCGATTGGATTCAAAAGCTTGCATCTTCCGCAAACTCTCATGGCGGTGCTGGAGGAAATCAATCTTGAGGACTGCCGGACGCTGACCTGTGTATCCTCATCACAGTTCAATGTTGTCAGGGATATTGGATTCTCAATTTGGATTCATATTGGGGGAATACCCATGACAGTCATGGATGGGGATTGCCGATGAGGATTGCTGGGATCGCGCGTCGCATGATTTTTCTCTCACCACCCATCCTTTGACGTCTGCGATGTGGACAGAAAGAGACTCAGGGTGCAGCAGGCTTTTGCAATTGCACCATATTGGTATTGTATCCGTAAGCACTGGGCGGCTGGTCTTTTCTAGTTATATTCTAGTTTCCGATCATGTCTGCATTGGGTTTGAAGACAGAGGACTCCACTCTCCATCCACTCTCCACAGGATGCTGAAGCGGCAAAGAAGACTTCATGCGCTGAAGGCTTTCAGATGGTTTTGAACACTTGTCCAGATGGGTGAAGGCCTCGTTGTTGGTTGCATTGGTTGGCTCTGCTTTGGTTCCATACGTGGTATACCCGGCACTTTGATAAAGAACATTTGGCAGAATTGCTGGCTTTCATGCATCACCTCTGGTGTAGGTCTCGAGGTCGAAGACGAGGCACGGTCTTCTGAGATTGACAGGACCGTGAGGGGAGTGGCCCCGCAATGCTCGGAGAGCAAATTCTTTTTGTGCATGAAACAAAGGTGTAAGGTGTAGTGGGAATTCCAGAAGACTAAGTTGAGGTTTTGGGTACAGGAAGAGGTATTGGCCTCTGACTACGCTCTAGAGTCAAGTAGTACCTGACGTTATTCCTAACGATTCTAGCTCCTTGTTTCATCAGACCTTCAGGCTGCTCAACTCCGGAAAGCTCTGTGGGAGGCAAGCAAGTGGCGTGAGTGGATGCCCGTGCAGTTGCGGATTCCTATTCTTTATGTCATTCAAGGGGCCTCTGCACACAAGGGCCAAACGGTTTGCCTGTCAAGACCAACAGGCTGGTTTCGCTAAATTTAGGACAACGTCACCTCAGGTAGTTCAATCCTGGACCCATGCCATCCAATGCCTAAGAGCTCCAGTCCAAGCATGTTGATTTGTAGATGCATAGGCTCAAGGCGAGATTGCTGGACTCCGCCTCGCACTTGCTGCCAAGGAGAGGGCACCTCGGTGAATTTTCAGAAGAGATAGCAGCACCTTGAATTCACCAGTTGAAACCAGTTGTTCTGTCATGCGTTTGTCACATGCCTGACAAAAGTTATTCTGGTCTGAAGGGATGAGAAACGCTACAGGACGCCGAGGTGTGCCGACATCAGGTGCGCGGAGTTTCTGCTCCTAGTAGCGTCCTTGCTCCTGGTCCTAGTATTATATGAACTGGATGCCGACTTCGAGATTTCATCCAAAAGAGCTGGTGAAGTCGTGGAAGCCATCTGGGTCCCGTACATCGATCTGAAAGGTCTTCGATTTGAGTGGCAGAAAACCGGGATACGAAGGACTCAAATTGTGCGGTAGTTTCGGCCCACAATTGTAATATATATCCAGCAGTTCCTATGTTCTCATAGGACATGCCTGGGTGATCTAGCTTCAGACACTGAACTTGCTGGCAGGCGCCCGTGTCGCCTATGTTGCGCTCTCGGCGATCGTCCTTTGATGTGCCCTCGACAGCATCGATTCGTTCGTGACAAAGTGACATTGGATGAATTTTGGTGGACATGAATTCAACACTTCCAAAAATGAATTTACCAACAACTTCATGTTTTCTTGGAGCAAATTTGGGATCGGATACTGGGCAGCCCTGTTGGTGCCTTGATTTCACGAAACTGAGCGACTTTTCGGGGAGAAAACCGTGGGACCCGTCGGACCTGTTGAGATCTGTTGAGTTTGTGGGAGCGTTGGGTGATTTTTCCCTGACACAGCCACTTGATCGCATCCAAGAAGTTGTTCGTTAGTGCAATTTTTTTTTGTCAAAGCGGTTCTTCCACTCTTTTGGATCGTCTCCGCTTTTCTCCTTCAGCCTTGTTAGTTTGCCTTTCAAGCGCGATTCTCAAATCTTCACATCAACACAAGGAAGGGAGGAAGGTTCATTGCAATCTCCTCAGGCAAGTTGTGCTGGACGAGCTCGACGCAGTTCGTTTGAGGTGCAAATTCGCAGCCTTTTTGTTTTCGAACGGCGTGGCAGGCTTAGTCCTCTTGCTTGCATTGAGACGATTTGGTCATGATCATATGCTCATCTTCCAAGACTGCGTCTGATCTAGGTTGACTAACCCAAGAAGGATGTCACACATAGTATGTTCAAAAAGAACAAATCGATGAAAAAAGGAAGGTAATGCCCGGTTGAGGGGGGCATACCTCACCATTCTTTTAAATCTCTGAAAATTTTATGGGTTTACGCCCAAAATCCAGCCAGGGGCCCACAACTGGCGAGGGGGAAAGAGGAAGGAAGGGAAAGGGAGAAGGGAGGGGGAGTTGTTCTTGTCGTCGTCTTCGTCGTGGTCGTTGTTGTGGCGTTTCGACTAGGTCGCAGAGCTTCCTTTTGTTGTAGCGTCCTTGCTCCTAGTAGTAAGGCCAGGAGCCCCTAGTAGAGTGATTCATTGCTCCTACACTTTTCTGGAAGATGGAAGGTGTGCAGGGTATCAGAGCATGGGCCGATTGTTGTCAAAGAAGAATGGCATGCCAATAGTGCGTGCCGAACCTGTCAGCAGAACTAGCATTTTTAGCATTTTTGATACAGCACTGCTTTGCTATGTTCAGCGCTCTCTTAACCAAAGCCACAACAAATGGGAAGGCCACAAAGCATTGTAAATTACAAGATATCAGTCAGCATGTGGATGGCACGTGGGTGGTCAGCGGCAGGGGAAACCCTTGAAAGGATATATGCCGCCGACCCAGTTGAATGTGCTGAGCATGATCGATGCATTACGTGTGAAGACCAAATACGGAGGGCGGCAAGGCAGAGGGAAATCCAAATCGGCAAGGAAACAAGGCACGGGGTAACGAAGACAAAACTACTAGTAGAAGAATTCTGGACGTTGGGTTGTCAACTCTTGTTCAGTTTGCTCCAGTGTTGATTGCCGAAAGCCGAATTTGGTGTCTTCAATTCAACAGGTGACTGGTATGCGATACGGTCAAGGTCCGCAAGATGAGTCGTCCGCAGTTGGTAAGTGGCATGGTGAAAGGTTGAAAGGAATGACCCACTAAAACAACTCTTCATATTCGATCTGCAGCCATGGCTGATATACCGTCCAAAATGCACTGCTCAATGCATTACAAGTGCAGGTCCTCTGGTGCCTCCCCAGTCCAAACCGGGGTCGGCAGATTTCCTCTTTACGATGCTGTGGGTTGGCCGGTTAGCCAAACTGGGGTATTCCGCAGGCACCGACTGGGCGTGCTCGGCGAAAGTCTTTGGAGGCGAGCTGATTCGCAGTTTATAGAGGCAATGTGTTCTGTCCGAATCAGTCAGACATCTGAGCATTGCAACAAATTGCAAGCAACTTTGCCCACCGACCCTGGAAGGTACGTTTTGAATATTCTACTTTAGCACTAAAAGGAATTTGTTCCCATTGGAGATCCCCGGAAACGAAGAAGACACCGATGTTGGATCCCTCTTCGACACTCAAATTCGAGGTGAAAGACTTGAGCCGAGAGCTACGCAGGTTGGCCCAAGGGATCTTTGGACTTGGTCGCAAGGGTTTCATATCACAAAAGGTAGCTTCAGCTACCTGAGTTCAATTAGCTTTAGCTACAGGGCAGGATCCTCCCACACGCCATGACTTTGGGCTCGCGAAAGGCGATTCTGTATGACAGGGGGGTGTATCGAGCTTCTCCTCCCTCCTCGTCATTTGGCTACTGCTGCTGCTTTGGTGTGATTGGAGTCGTCGTTTGGAGCTTCACCTCCGTCCCCGTTATTTTGCTTCTTTTGTACTGGTGATGCAGCTTTGCTGTGATTGGATTCGTATTGAGCTTCTCAGCTGCTGCTTTTGCTGCTGCTGCTGCCGCCGTTGGTGCTCTTCAAATCCCACGAATCTCTCTCTCTCTCTCTTTATTTCTCTTTATCTCTCTTCTCTCTCTTCTCTCACCTCTTTGAAAGTTGAACTTAGTCCTACCACCCCCTCCCACTCAAGCGATGAGCATTTTGGGAGTGTTTCCCAGGAACGAAGTAAGAGGGGATCCCTTTTTCGCTTTCTTCTTAAC